TTGCCGACACACATTCGCAACGCACCACTACCAGTACGTATAAATGTATAGGAATATATGATCGGTGGCGGCAGGACATGATAAATCGCAACGCCTCCGGTCACGCTACCCCGTGTGTACCGTGCGGGCGAACGCGTACGCATATTCGTCCTTGCGCTCCTGCCGTCGACCACCCGATGGATCCGTCACGTTCAAGGGGTGGCCATACACATACACACGGATATAAGTGCGCGAAAATTTAAATACACACCGAGTGCCCAAGTACATAATATCCATATATATATATATATATATATATATATATATATACATGAGCGAAACTTAGGGGGTGGAAGACGGGGATTCATCAACGGGCGTAAAATTTTAGAGGGTGTAATTTTTATAATTATTAACAAATAATTTGTTATTTTTAACATTGTTAAATACCGATATTAGGTTAAAACTCAACTCGTATATTAATTATTAGAAAAAAGTGTTCGAGAAGAGTGTTCGATTATTGGTCTGCGATAGAGCGTAATTTTAATATTTTCTCCGGGCGTAAAAATGCCTAGTACCACCCCTGTATACATGTTATTATTGTTCGGTAGTAATAATATTATTATACGGCGAGTAACCGCAACGTCCGCCGCTGCCGCCGCCTATCGGATCGCGTGTTCGCCGCCCACGTAACATTGTACGACACGTCGACGACTAGGACGACGTGCGTGTCCCGTTCGCCGTTTTTCCGCCCTTTTACGCTCTGCTGTGGCGCGCAAACGTATATTACACGTTATCGTTACTACCGTTATTGTTATTATTACTGCCATTACTCGGCCCAGCGACTTACGACGATTAAGACATTATGCGGGTGTGCCCCCGACCCTTCATCCACTTTCGCCTGGCGATCCGTGTCCGTCCCGGTCGATTTCCGTTTAATTTAGCACGCGCGCGCGCACGTCTCCGATACAAAAAAAAACCGCCACAAAGCACGCGTGCCCAAAACCGTACGAGGTCGCTACGAACAGTCCACCTCCGGACGCGGCCAATCGCCAGGAAAATGTTAATAAGACGAATTTGTTATTAAGGGTATAATAATACGACGACGGCAACGGTAGCAATAACAATAATAATAGTAGTTTAACAACTGCAGCCCGGCACAAGATCGGGTCTGGCGATTTGCGTTTCACGATTATCGAGCAGGTACACGCGTGTGCGTACGTCACCATGCGCATAATGATATATTGTAATACGGTACACCCGTTTCGGGTAATCTACGCGGCGCACACAGTTGTTGTGATACGTTATTGTATAACGACGTTGTAATAATGGCGGGGTGCAATTAGTGGCGAAAAAAATTGCGCAGCCCGGCGGTAAGCATGGGGTAGTGGAAAAAACACAGTTTGTTAAACCTTGTGCGCACGCCGCGGTCGAACCCGCGGAGATACGTACCGGTCAAAAACGGAATATTTTTATTTGGTTCGCTGTGAACAGTCACGCAGACCAATGTACGTGGTGAAACGTTGAATGATCTTAGTGCGGAAGAGTAGGAAGAGGATACGGTGGTTGAAAACCGACTTCCTGGAAATCCCGAGGAAAATATATCTAGAGGAAGACGCGGGAAAAGATGGATTCATGTGGTAGACTAAAATTTAAAAACAAGAGTTGCAAACCGGGTAGAAGCTTTTCTCAGATGGTCGGCGTAGTATTCGTGGCGAAAAATATAAAAAATAAATAAAATATTCTTAGCAGACTTTTCGTTTAGTACTATGATTCGACTGTAAATATATGCATGCTTGTAATGTGTGACTGCCAGCGTCCAATTACCATCCAATAAATGACTTCAACGCGAGATCATATATACGTGATTTATTCAATATTATATTCGTTGTACTTGTTGTTCACACGAATCATCGCGTTGCGAATCGAACACGGTTTGTCGGTAAACCTAAAGCGGTGCGAAGTAATTCAAGGCGTGATACGTATAAATGTAGCCGTTTGACTGCACGGGGGTATGGGAAAAACGATTTTTACCGTTTAAGCACTGCGAAGGGGGGTGTGTTCGGGTAGCGCGAGCGTTGTCAACTGTCACTGTACAAAACCGAAGGGGACAATTTAAGATTCGGTCCGTCTTGTTACCACCACAGCAGTGCCGAGTAATTTAGCTTTTTCGATTACTTTTCCGTTCCAAACCACCAACCCTGCCATCATTTTCCCTTTTTTTTTTTTTATTAATCAATTGATTTTCTCACCTTTCTTTCGTCTGTTCCTAACCTTAACGTGACACCCGTGAGGGGATATGTTTCGGCGATGAAAATACATGTACATTGTACATTCTAATTGAATCCGCTCGACGTGACAACGCGATACAAGCACTAAACCTGCGGCTAACAGTTTTCCGTATAATTTTTAAACGATCGTTGCTGCTCTTTTCACGTACGCATACTCTTATTTACGTCGATTCACGTCAAATCTTACATGGTCATAATCTATACGTCACCACGGAACTAACATCGAGGTTTACGTTTTAAACTTATTGCACTATTATGATGAAACGAAATTATACCGCTGGAAAAACTCGGTTCATTAATACAGATACTTAATTTAAGTTGAAATAATGTATATTTGTGTGTATTTATATGTATATATGGATTTATGATTAAACGAGTGTCGTGTTCAATTGAACTCTTAACGGATGTGGCTTTGAAAAGTATCTCATATATATATAATGTCTTGATGAAGTTTTCCGTAGTGTATAAACAATTAAGACATATTTATACCGACTGAAAGTGCGTGAACCGTTGTCGGCAAATAAGTCGCAACTGAATGAAAGTGTTTTAAGAGATAAAAAGTTCTTTAATTATCCAGTATTGAAAAATATAAAACGTTTACTGTATCATTATATAATTCTGGTGGAAACATTTTTTTTTTTTTTTTTACATATTTGTAACAAGAGCCTATTAAAATGAATGTGAAGAAATTTTTTGAATATTACTGAAAATCGGTCATTAAAAAACTATGTTAAGCTGGTATAAACAAAATTAAAATAAATAATTGTTTGTTTGAACCTTTAAACTTTAGATGACATTCGGTACTATGTTTTTGGAATTTATTAGTATTATGTGCGAGGAATTCGACGAAAATATTGTTTAATATAAGTATAACATTGCTCTAACATATTTTTAAAAACATTTCAGATTCTCTATATCATCTATATAATCACTCGTTATAGTAGGTTTGACTATTTTTCTCTAATATATTTTTTAACAATTTATATTGCTTATTTTGTTATTAGTCTCATAGAACGTGAACATTTGGTGAACTTGTTCTTGATTTGACATTAATAATGAGATTAATTTTAGATAAAATAATTAATTATACAAAAGACTATAACAATAAATACACTGATATTTATATTGAGCTAACGTTTATTGTTGTAACAAAAAAAAACACGATTTCACTTTGTTGCACGTTATAATATTAATATTTATTCGGGAACAAAGGTAATATAATAAACATTGTCTATTGGCAAGGTAGAGTTGTTGCGTGTTTTGAATCAGTTGTATTTCCTGATAAGTTTTGTGAATAACTAATTCAGACTTTTAGCTTTAAGGTTTAAACATCGAAGCGATTAACAATATTTATTGTAATAGTATTTTTTTCCGAAATATACAGAATATTAAAACATCAACATCAATATTTTCAAAACTACCTACGAAATGATTTCTTAATTAATTCATAGATATTGTGTTGTGCACCAATAAAACGATAAATCATTAAATGATTAAATATTATAATAATAATTGATATTGTTATGTTTTCTACTTATATTTCGTAAAAAAGTGAATCAAAGCGTTTAATTAATCCGAAAAATATTATGAAGATCCGTCAAAATGTAAATCAAACTACATGCGATAGAATAAGAGTATACAACTTTTCTGGATTTGTAACAAAAAATTAAACTAAAAATGTTTCATAATCATTTTTCGTCAAATGCATTTTAAAAGATTACGAATGTAGTATACGTATCAAACAATAAAAGATTAAGGTTTTAATTATTACGAAAAAACAAAGAGAAACGCAAGTAACAGGAAAGAGTGAAGGATTGCTTTAAACCAATCTCATTATTGAGTACTGAAAAAAGTGAAGAAAACATAAAAAAAGGCTCGTAGCATACGTAAATATATTCGTTTAGGTGAAAGTTTTTATACAAAAATAAAAAACTTTCTCGCCTTTACAAATCAAACGTTATCTTGAAAACTCTTTCAGTTTGTAGACGATTTCTATGTTAAAATATTCTCCTCCGTCCCGTATTGTTTTCAATCATAATCGTGCGAGAATCAAAAGAAACATTTATTTTATTTTATTTTTTCAAATATTTTTTCCGCATCCTTCCACTCTTTTTCTTTTGTCGAAATGAAATACCGTTGGTTTTATCGGAAAACGTCAACGTTTTTGAAAAAATATCTCGTGTCGGTGTACGGTATCGAGAACAAAATAATCCTAGCATATTTGAAAAGTACCAAACACAAAACGTTTTTGTAGACCGGTGCAGTTGTGCAATACTGTTATCTTCTCCGCTGTGTTATTATTGTGTTTCTTATGTCTCATCAATAAGACAAAATATTCGGATATTACTTATTAGCAACGCACGTATTCTCCACGGTGGTGCGGATCAGATTTACATAAAAACGTGCGGCAATAGCATTCGGACCGCTGAATCCTTTGAATCCTTCAAAAAACGATGTTTTCGAATTTCTCGGATGACGTTTCACCGTCGTGTGCAATTATAAGTCCGACCGAGGTACAATACTTCGTCACCCGAGGACATTACTTGGGTATGTGTCATTGTCCGTTGGACATTTGCCTTGCACGGACGTACGGTAGTTCACGTTATAATATTTTTCGAGAGAATCGGATTTCGACCGTCGGACGGCATTACAGTTTGTCTCGACATCAGCAAACATAACAACACTAAAACGTATTTCATAATTTCATCTAATCACGTTCGTTTTTTTTTTCAGAAGCACGACGATCCGGAGGATTTCGAGTGGAAGTTTTGTAAGGTGAGTTTTACCAGTATCCGATTATAACATGCGTGGTTCTAGGACTACATTTTCGTATGGGCAAAAGTAGATTTATAATTAGGTTTTAACTGCAAATAATATTCCTCATTTCCTCCCTCTTCCCCACAAAATTTTTTTAATAAAATATTTATCCTTAAAGCTTCCAAAAAAACCTTAAATACTAGCAGTAGGTACATTATAGTGTATAGCTTAAAATCTTTATATTAATTATATTAGGTAGGTAATAAATATTTAAAATATTAAAAAATAGAGTAATCCTTAGTTTTAAACTAATTAAATATAATTATGTTAATTTAAATATATTTAAATTTAACTGTCAAAAGAGTGGAGACTATTTAGACTAATCAAAAAAAAAAAAAAAAAAAATAGTAAGCTAAATTTGAAATTGTATTTTTTATGCTTGCAAATATTTTAAGGACAGCAGTTGGATCCTTTAATAATTTTTCTGAGTTTTACCAATGGATTCGTAAGGATAAACAATGTTTGGTTGTACAGGAGATTGATCATAGTTTAAAATTAAGTCTAACATTTTTAAAGATTTTACCAATTGTCTGATCGGTTCCGGGTTAAAAGCAATACTTCTATTTACACTGGTGTTTTCACCACCTGTAGAAACATTTGTATGTGCTGATAGAGATTTTGGTGTGTCTCCTTCAATTGTTTTTTCAGCCTTATGTTTAGCAAAATTAGTTTAATTTATTAGCAAAATGTTTTCATTATATTAAATTAATAGAAACTAAATTCACAAATTCACAATGAGAAAAAAACAATACAATAGTCATATATCTAAACAATATGTTCGAGATACCGAGGTCTCACTGTATTAATTTATTATCACGTTATGCCGAGTTTTATGAATGATATTTACCGTACCAAACTTCTGGTAATTTTCGCTCCCTCCAATTCTGAACTAAGATAGTACTGTCTTAGATTACACGCCTATCTCTAATCGTATTATCAATACTAGAACAGCTGCAGACTCTGCACCGACATTATTACGTGTATAATATTTTAGTAAGCTCGTCAACGATATAATGATAATAACATAATTTTAAATTATTATTATAATTTATCAAATGATAAAACATCTTATTTTTGTATAAAAATTACATTTTTAAAATGAGGGACACCAGAAATTTTGGTATGGGCATCTGCCCCCCTTGCCAATACGCTAGAACCAGCACTGAATTGTAACCCCACGGTAAACGTTATTTTTTACTATCAACTCGCGCGTTGAGTTTACGTGGCTTTGATGTTTCGCGAAAATCGTAACGTACCTTCGTCTTCCGGCGTAGGACGGATTGGACAACAGCTCTTGTGCACACGCGTGAAACAGCGTTCAAACGCGGCCGATGATGATGTACACGTGTAGTAAATATAAACATATTATTTTATTTTTTTCAAATAAAGGCCGCGAGAACATGGGTCGTCGACCGAAAATCGGAGAGTATATTATTTATACGTATAACGTACGCATTATGTTATTAGGTTTAGCTTTCGTTTTTTTCGCCGTTTTCGTTTTTATTTGTTTTCCCCGGCCGGCGGTGCACAGATGGTGGTGTGGAATATAATGGGGTACCTACTCCGGACGTGAACGAAAGGGTTCCAGTGCCGGTATGGATTTTTGCTTCAGTAGCTGTACAGCGGTGTACTGTGTACACGATGACGCGTCGACCCAGATTGCGCTTTGCCAAAGGATATTTTATTACCCTCACTGTCACCCACCACCACCAGCCCCTGGCTCGAGATCTGGCAAGGTGACAGATTCGCAAATCATTCGTTTCGCTCCGCCCGCATAGGATTAGATGATAATAATAATAATAATAATATTGACAATAATAATAATAATACGTGAACGCAAAGTTGTTTGTCGACAAAATACGCGCACGCTACATAGTCAAACGGCTAAGTATGTCTCGCTGTTATTATCCCCGAATTCTGCACAGGTTTTGGCGTGCATTGTTCAGGTTTATCGATACCGCGATTCTGTGTAAAAGCCAGAGTTGAGATGATTAAAACATTTTTTTTCAATAGTATTTTAAAACATGTTTCGATAATTTAATCTAATCAAATGCGGTTTTGTTTAAATCGTTTAAAACATATGATTTACATAAATAAATATTTTACCCACTTTTCATCTGATAATAATGATAAGAAATCTTCATTTTTTTCCATTTCTGACAAAAACACTTAAAATATTAAAATTGGTTAAAAAATAAAGAGTCATTAAACTGTAGATCATATTTTTTTTAAAAATAAAATGCTATTTTTTATATCAATCTACAAAGGTTTGGATTTTAAGGACATCCATTTGAGAACATTAAATTGATCAAAATTAGCTGTTCATTTTTTCAAAAACCATAGTTTTAAACATTTAACATTTCTTTTCTTAAATTAGATGCATTTGATTGGTTATAATTATTTTTAAATAATTCTTTTACTTTTAAGGGTAAAAACTCTAGTTGTTTTCGTTATTGAAGGCATTTTCTACATAACCATCTAATTTTTGAGTGAAATAAAAGTTTTTTATACTCAACATCGACGAAAGTACAAAATTCTTTTAATGATTCTGTACATACTGTATGAATTGAAAAATAATTATACATTTTTAACATAATAGACTTTATATCGATTAGTAAACTATCAATTGAGTATTGAACACAGTTATTTAGAATGTGAGCAGGGCGTCCGATTTCAATAATTGGTTTTTTAATATGCTGTTGGAGACGATAAAAAATATTATTTGTTTATAAATAGAAAAAACAGTACATTTTTGCCAATATAAAAAAAGTGATAGTACAAAAATGTTAAGAGCTCAAATGAGAATATGTACTCTTAAAAGAGTATATATAGTAACCCTACATATACAGTTGCTGGGATTTCGATAGGATTCCACAGCTCTAACAATATTTCGTCATCGGAAGAGTCACAAAACTCCATCACATGCAATTTTTGTATTTCTATTTCTTTTAATATTATAATTGTTAATTATTAATATCAAATACTATACAAAAAGTTTACCTAACTATTGTTCAATTTTACTACAAAAAGAAATAAATTATTATCAATTATTAAAATTGATAAAAAAAAATCAGCTGATTAATCTACACCGAAACCGTTTGTTTTGAAGACGGGTATCTGATCACACCCCTTACACTTCACCCAGACACTACACTAATTAGTGTACACTTTTTTTTCCTAAATGAACAAACCTAATGTAAAAAAAAAAAGTTGTTTTTAAACGGAAAAAAAAAATACAATTTTTGGCCTATCATCTACTATCTTCAAGTTTTATTTAATTTTTTGCAATAGTTAATTTATTATTCGATTTTTACTGTTCAGCGGTTAATCAGTAATTCAGTTTAATACCTACATTATAACTTTTAAGATATATGTACTATATTTCTATAAGTTAATCAGATAATATTTCTAATAGTCAATTGACACTGTAAAATACTAAATAAGTTATATTAATAAGTTCCATATCTTATGATAGCAACAAAATAATTAAATATCTATAAAGAATATATTAAGTTTAAACAGTTAGTTTAAAACAGTTTTATAAATAAAGATAAAATAAGACAAAAAAAAATTTAGAAACCGTTTAAAAATTACAATACATCGTAAAAATATAACAAAACTTATTTTAAGTTTAAGAAAACTAATTTATATTATTAATAAATAACATTTAACAGTTGAATTTTAATTTTTTTTTTATTAAATTGTAACACTTATAAACACAATAATAATAAAAAAATATTATTATATTGCATGGAGACTAGAATATAATACTTAATATTATGTATTTTATTATTATTTATTAGTAAATAAATGATTCTATTAATTGTTATAATATTAAAATATACCAAATGACTAATAACTAATAAGCAACAGTCATGATCAAGTTTACAGTAGTCACTAGTAATGTTATGTATATTCGATCATTCGAATATCAGTATTCGATACTACAATACCTAATTTGTTTTATCCGTTTTTCCATGACAAACTTTTTCTACTACATATCTACACAACTAAAGATAATTTATGTCAATGATTAATCGACCTAAATACGAAAATAGTTCTTATCTGCAGATACCTGTTCGTAGTTAGCTTTATTTTACTCGTTGCAGCCTATAACGAGTAATAACCATACTCGTTGTAGACGTATATTTTAACATACAATTATATGTGCTGTGCCGGGTTAGGTTAACCTAACATTTTGCTTGTTGTAAGAAGTATCTCGTTCTATAGGGATTTATAGTTTATACTGTATTAATTATAATTTAATTATGATATTCGAGTATTTTGCACAATTTTTATTTTTGTATTTTAATTGCCCTGTCAAATAGTAAATATCGCTGGCTTCGAATCCACTTCTCGCAGCCTTTATACACCATAAACCATATAATAATATTATTAAACGTTTTGTGTTGCATGAAAACTTAAACGAATAATTTTTGTTACGTATTGTATCGTAACATCGAATATTGATATTCGAAAATTCAAATATTCGAATAATTCCCATCACTAGTTATTACTAAAAAAAAAAAACTTCAATGTATTTTTATTATATATTTATACTCCAAACGTAGTACATTCTTCTGTTATTACATTTTTACTATTTAGTATTTGTATGTTATTACTTTTTAGTTATTAGTGTTATTACTTATTAGTTATACGCCATAGGTACGCAGATAATTGCTACTTTATTAATATTATATTTAATTATTTAATTATTTAATTATACTCCTTTAAGTTCATATATAATATTATAAATAAACCTATACTAATAATTTTATTTTGTTTATTTAATTTTATTTAATTCGATTAAAATTTGTTTTCTACAAGTTTAAAACGGTTACAAAAAAAAAAAAAAAAACAATTGAAATAAACATGTTTAAAACGATTAAAACTTTTTTTTATATATAAAAAACATGTTTTTATAAATTCTGGTAAAAGTACGATTTTTCGGGTTCTCA